TTGAACCTAAATGACACACGCGAAATTATAATCGTCATTCGTGATTATAATTGGCTCTGGTGAGTCTCGGGGTCGGGGGCCCTCGTGTGCCGGGCGAAGAAGGACCGCGCCGCCTCCTGCCAGAGGCAGCGGCCGTCCTCGCACTTGCACGACTCGCCGGCCACGCGGCAGATGACCTCCCAGTCGCTCTGGCGCCCCCCTGCTGCAGCCCGGGGGGCGTCGCCCCACTCCCTCGCCTCCGCGAGCAGAGTGGCCAGCTGCCCCTGCCTTCGGGGGCGGGAACGCACCGCCGCCGGGACTCAAAGAGCCCCGGTCCTCGGCGCCCCTAGAGGCGCCCCGGAAGCCGTTGGGGGGGAAGCAGGTTGTCTGGTAAGAGCAAAATAGCCCCGGGGACACACCGCGTGGCCCCCCAGGGCCATGGCCGCAGAATCTGGCATCCAGCGGGGCCCGGGCAGGCCAGGGGTGGCGAGCGCGTTCCCGCTCCTGGCGCCTAGCCCCCACCCGGCGCTGGATCTCCGCTCTGCCCTTCTCCTGCGCGCGCGCCAACACGGCGCTCTTGGCCCGCGGACCCTCGCTGATGACCGGCGCTTTGAAGTCGTCACTCGCGAGCCCCGTACGTTCTTCGACCCCGTCTCCACGGCCACCTCGGCGGCCTACTTCTCGGCCCCCCCCCCGCCGTCTCTGGAGGGTTTTGGCGTTGAACGGCTCCCGGCTGGCTTCGCGCAGGTTCACGGAGGTGCCCTGGCGCGACCAGGGCAGCGGCCCCTCGTCGACCAGGAGCTTTCGGGGCGTTGTGAAGACCCCGCACCGGACAACGCTCCAGAACATGGCGCGCGCGGCGCCCCAGTGCGACCCCAGCGCGGAGCGGGCTCGCAGGGCCCGCTTAAAGAGCAGGAGCGACGCCTGGCTAGCCAAGCGCAAGGCCACGTGGAAGCGGCGCGGCTCCTCGAGGAACACCACCATAGACTCGACGCCAACGGGTTCGTTGAGGGGCCCGCCGCCCTTGCAAGACGACGCCAGGGGCCAGGGGCGAAGCTCGACTAAGGGGTTCCAAACAAATTGCGTCAATATCGCTGGGGGCGGAATCCAAGGCCTCGCGGGCGCAGGACGGCCAATCGTGGAGCAAATATCGAACGTTGAAGCTTCCTGTCGAGCGTTTTCCTCCCAGGGCTGTCTAACCCTGGTCGGCTGCGCAGGGTTGGCCGCGGCGTCCAGGATGGCGCCCCGGATCTGCTCTCGCGAGACCTCGTCGAAGGTCCCGAGAGCGGGTCCGCAGGTGGCGGCCGCGGCCCCGGCGGTCCCTGGGAGCGTCGCCGCGAAGGTGACCAGGTAGACCCACCACCGAAGCTTCGCGTTCTGGGGCGCCCCAGTCGGGGCTCACGGGGCCGGCGGCCGCGGCGGCCTGCGCGCCCTCCGGGTGCAACTCTTCTTGCACTGCGGCGCGGAGGATCTCTCCGACCTCCCCCCGCCTTTCGTCCAAGCCGTCAGGGTGCAAACCCAAATGGGCCACCAACCACTGCCGGAAGGCCTTGACTCTGACGGCCACGAGCTCGACCCCCTGGAGGAGGCAGGGCCCTCGGCGCCTCGCCCAGCCGCGCCCGCGTCGGCGCCGCCGCCGCAGCCGTTCCCCTGAACGGCCGCGGCCCTGCGAGCCCGCGGCCCAGACGGCAGCGACGATGACGGCGGCGGCGAAGGCGACCCGCGCTTGCGACCCTGCGCCCGCGACCCGCGCCAGCGACCCTCGCCAACGACTGGCGCCCGAGACCCGCGACCGCGATCCGCGCCCGCGACCCCAACGCGCGATTTGCGCCCGCGAACGGCGGCAGCGACCCCCGCTTGCGCCCCGCGCGACCGCGACCCGCGCCCGCGACAAGTGCCTGGCGACCCGCGCCCGCGACCCGCTCCCCGCGGGGATGTGGGGGAGGGAGCGGGAGAGGGCCAGGGGCCAGCGACGACTGCGACGCGCCCCGGCAGCGCGCGAACGCCCGCGGCCGCTTGCGACCCGCGCGACCGCGACCCGCGCCCGCGACCAGCGCCCGGCGACCCGCGCCCGCGACCCGCGGGAATGGGGGCGAGGAGGCGTAGAAAAGCCGGGGGCCAGCGCCGTCTGCGACGCGCTCGAACGGGATCCCGCGGCGCGCGAGCGCCCGCGGCCGCTTGCGACCCGCGCGACCGCGACCCGCGCCCGCGACCAACGCCCGGCGACCCGCGCCCGCGACCCGCCCCCCGCGAGGACGGGGGAAGGGGGCGGAGGAGGGCCAGGGGCCAGCGCCGACTGCGACGCGCCCCCGCGGCGCGCTAACGCCCGCGGCCGCCGGCGATCCGCGCGACCGCGACCCGCGCCCGCGACCGGCGCCTGCCGACCCGCGACCATCGCCCGCGAGATGCGCCCGCAACCCGACCCAGGACCCGCGGGCGGCACGCGCCTGCGACCTACGACCCGCCTGGGACCTGCCCTGGGCGACCCGCAGGCGACCTGCGCACGCGTGCTGCCTCTGCGACCGGCTGGCGGCCCGCGCCCGCGCCCGCGACTCGCGCCCGCGGCGGCGACCCGCCTTGGTCCGCCGCGGACTCGCCAGCGACTTACCTCCCACTCCAGTGCCTTACCAGCGACTTACCAGTGAGTTACCCAGTGACTTACCCAGTGACTTACCTCGCCACCATATAAGTTCACACGCGGGGAACACGCGATCAATATAATTCCTGTTCCAAGTCTAAAGAAAGAAATTTGTGAATACCGCAAGCGCCCCGCCTGTCGATTTATAGGGTGGGCGAGGTAAAACACTTGGTCACTGGTAAATCACTGGCAAAAGCGCTGGGGTGGGAGGCAAATCGCTGGGGCCCGCGGGGGGCCCGCGGAGCTGGCGGCCAAGGCCGAGGGGGGCCCTGCCCTGGCGGACCGGGGCGGGCCTGGCGGGCGCCAGACTGGATGATCCTGGCGAACGCTCGGCCTTCAAAGGGTTTAAAAGGCATCGCTCCCCCCCGAAATCCGTTGATTTCCTCCTTTTCCTCCTTCTCCTCCTCCTCCTCCTCCTCATCATCATCATCATCATCACCATCATCATCAGCATCATCATCATTATCATCATCATCACCATCAACATCATCAACATCAGCATCATCAACATCAGCATCACCACCATCATCAACAACATAATCATCATCAGCATCATCATCAGCATCAGCAGCATCATCAGCATCATCATCATCATCATCATCATCCATTGTTGCCTGTGCTCATTCTCTCGAAGCTTTCCTGGCACGAGCCCCGAAGGGTTCAGCGCCAGTGGCACGAGCCCCGAAGGGCTCAGCGCCAGGTTCAATTCTCTCCTCCTCATTTTCCTCCTCCTCCTCCTTTTCCTTTTCCTCGTCCTCCTCCTGCTCCTGCTCCTGTTCCTGCTGCGTGGTTTGGGAGCCCACGAAACCTGGCCAGGCGTTGGTTTGTCTGTTGTTGTTCTCGTCTGGGAGCTCACGAAACCTGACCAGGCGTTGGTCGTTATATATATATATATATATATATATATATATATATATATATATATATGTGTGTGTGTGTATTGCGAGGGCCCCACGAAACGTGGCCAGGCGTTGTTTTTCCTGTTTTTTTTCTGATCTTGGGAGCCCAAGAAACTTGGTCAGGCGTTGGTTATTCTGGTTTTTCTGGCCTGGGGGCTCACAGAACCTGGCCCGGCGATTTGTTGTTGTATGGTCCGACGGCAGTTCTTCGCAAGCCCCCAACCTCCAGGCTAGCTTTCGCGGGCTCCCAGATCAGAAAAACCAAAAAGAACAAACGCCTGGCCAGGTTTTCTGAGCCTGGAGGTCGGGGGTTTGCGAACTACTGCCGTCGGACCAGAAAAAACAACAACATAATTATCCCAGTGCGATCCTACCTAGGAGTTGGAAACCCTAGGAAAGCAGCATTAGTAGTAACAGTAACGCTAAGCTAAAGCTAAGCTAAAGCTGAAGCTAAAGCTGAAGCTACAGCTAAGCTACAGCTAAGCTACAGCTAAGCCAAAGCTAAGCTCAAGCTAAGCTAAATCTAAGCTAAAGCTAAGCTCAAGCTAAGCTAAAGCTAAGCTGAAGCTAAGCTCAAGCTAAGCTAAAGCTAAGCTAAAGCTAAGCTAAACGCTAAGCTAAACGCTAAGCGAAAATCTAAGCGAAACGCTAAGCTAAAGCTAAGCTACAGCTAAGCTAAAGCTAAGCTAAGGCTAAGCTAAAGCTACAGCTAAAGCTACAGCTAAAGCTAAAGCTAAAGCTAAAGTTCCCAAGGGACTGGGGGGAACCGCCCCCAGGGGACTGGGGGAACCGCCCGGGGCGTGTTGCACTGCCCGGCCCCTTTAAGCTAAGAGAGTAAGAACCCTTCTAGGCAGAGCCTAGGTAGGGAAAAACCAACGCCGTCAGGTTTTGTGAGCACCCAAACCAGAACAAGCAGAGAAACCAACGCCTGGCCAACTTTTCTGAGCTCCCAGACCAGAACAACCAGAGAAAAAAAACAACGCCTCACCAGGGTCTGCGGAAGCGGATTCTGCTTGAAGGAAAAGGAGAAGGAGGAGGAGGAAGACGGAGCAGGATGGAGGATGAGAGAAGGATGACACGAAAAGAAGAAGAGTGGAGAAGAGGAGTGCAGCAACAAGAGCGGCTCCTGTTTTTTAGCCCTTTGAAAGCCGAAAACACGCCAGGCCCACCCAGTCTGGAGCTGCCTGGCGACGGCCCTCCCGGGATGAATGCCCCCTCCTCATCCTCGGGCGGGGCGCCTCGGGATCCGCCCCAGCGCCGGGCTTTCGCGGGGCCGCCGATGGCGGTGGATGCGATGGCTAGGATGGCGATGCCTGGCCCCGTCGCTCCCTCCCCCCTGCCCCCTTCTGCCCCAGCCCGCGCGCGGGCGGGCTGGATTTTCTGGCGGCGGCCCGCGCTCCGGCGCAAAACGGATCGGCCCCTCGCTCGCAGGAGGCGGGCCAAATCTCGCAGAACGGCCGCTGCGAGTTGCCCGCGGGGAAAACCGGGGCGCCCGCGCGCGCGGACTCGAGGGGCCCATGGGTCTGGCCGCCCTCGGCCGCCACCAGGCGCTGGCACCGTTTACTCATGGCCCCGACGCTCTTGCTCGCAATGTCCGAGGGAATGCTCTTGGCCGTGCGTTTGAGGCGCCGGATGAAAACGGCGCGGGTCTCGCGCTTGCCCGCGATGAACATGCGCCCCCGCGCGCGCGCGAGTTCACCTCCCGCCGCGGCCAGCAGTCGCACGCGTTCAGTTGCGGACTGTGGGCGGGGATCTCGAACATCTGGATGCCAGCGCGCTGCTTGGCGGCGACGCTCTTGCTGGCCTCGAAGCCAGACGGGTCGTCGTCCCCGAGGGCGCGGAAGCGCTTCGTCCCCGGGCACTCCGCCTTCAGCGCCTTGAGAATCGGGCCTTCGTAGACCCGCGCGGCCTCGGAAGCATCTTAATCCCCCTGGATCTCCTCCCGCGCCAGCACCTCCCCGTCGCCAACGCCGGCCAAAATGTGCACCCCCTTCGCGCCCGTGTTGTGCTTCAACTTCGGGTTGGGCTCCTTCGCGCAGCTGGCGTTCAGGCCCTCGCCCAGGCGGCGGATGACGCCCCGCGTGCCCGACTGGGCCACGCGGCGACGGGCCTTGCCCGCGAGCAGGACGGGGAAGAACTTCACGTCTATGCGCATGTGCACGTGCGACTGCCACCACGACATGGGCTTCCCCTGGTACTTCTCCCCGAACTCGAGGCGGCCGTGGATGTCCTCGTCCGTCAGCAGGGGCTTGTGGCGCATGGCGTAGAAGCGGTACCCCTTCTCGTGGAGCCTGCGCGCAATGGTGGCCTCCGAAGACTTGCGCCGCGAACTGGTTTTCAGCATGTGCCAGGTCACCCGGTACTCTCCGTTGGCCTTCTTGATTAACCTCTCCAGGTGGTTGATGAGAATGGCCACTTGAGCCTCGCTGAGGACATTATTACGGCCAGTGGTCTTCTTCAGGAAGTTGTCCTTGATGAGGCGGGTGATGGAAGACTTCTCGCGCTGCTGATTCGCCGCGATGTGACT